AACAGTTGCAAGTGCAACTAGCCGCCCGACCAGGGGTCGCTCAGCCTGTGCCACCTCCACCACCGGCTATTCCACAGGTGCCACAGTGCGCACCAACTGGCCAGTTTGGCCAGCAATGGAATGCACCACCTGTCAATCAACAGACCGCGACAGGTGGCCAGTTTGGTGGTGATCAGACCATCCGCCTCGACACTAAGATGCTCCCAAGTTTGCCTCAGCCAGATTTCAAGCAATGGACCGATAGGCCTAGTGAAATTCTTGGCATGTATAAATTCATGGAATCATTAGGTGAGCCGTTCGCAACGGTTGTATTTCATTCTGAATCAGCTGTTTGCTGACTCATCACGGGTCATGAGCATTATCAGGCTCCAGGAAATCCAGGTCACCGATAGCAATTGTGGATATGAATTGCTTAGAAAAATTCGGTATGAATTTTGCCTGCAGAGCCGAACCGAAGCTTTGTTCTTCCGGAAACGGTGCCTGGATTACCGCGTGCCTCCCAACACACCTGTGAGAGAGATCGGCCGCCTGTGTGATTCCGAGTTGGCAAGGTATCAAATGATCCTTGCCACAGCAGCAGACCCAACCAGATTGACCGACCTGGTCATATCCGAAGCACATCGCTATCACTGGTTGTTGCAAAGTGTTCCGACGGAGGTCCGTAGGTGGGTTCAGCTCCATGCTCATCAGGAGAACTACAACACCACCAAGGACTACCTTCAGTACTACCACAGCCGGACCATTCTGTCGGAGGATCTCGAACGCACATCCCGCAGTCGCCCTCTTCAACCCTTTGGAATTGATCATTGGGGTAATGAAGAAACTTTTGCATGGGATGATCAGCAAGATCCTAATTTCGCCGATGCAGCAACCGCCAGTGACAGCTGTTTCCGGTGTGGAAAGCCTGGGCATTATTCCCGTGATTGCCCGCAATCTCCACAATCAGGTTCTGGGAAGGGCAAATCCAATGCCTCTCGGGACTCGCCTACCAATCAGCATGGCAAAGGTGGTAAATCCAAGTCTAAGCCAGCCGATAAAGGTAAGGGTCCCAAACCACATGACTCTAAGGGTAAGCATAAAGGCAACCCTAAGGGTAAAGGCAAAGGTAAGGGTAAGCCCAAAGGCAAACGTGCCGCAGAGCTCGCCGGTGACAGTGAGGATCCCAATGATCCTTGGCTCCAGCCTCAAGATGAGGGCGATTGGCCCCAATCCGACTGGGATTCTTGGAACTCATGGCAAAGTGATGATCATCAACTTGAGTATCCGGATCAGCCTCACGATGACACCTGGAGTGAGATCAGTGGAGACGGCAATGCCGCTAGGTCACTGTCCCACATGCTGAAGGCACCACTTGCCTCATGTCAGATCACCGAGCAAGATCACGAGTGGTGGCTTCTGGATTCAGGAGCATCAAGGTCGGTTGTCGATGAGCGAACCCTCGACAAGCATAAAATCATCCGGCAACGCACCTTGACTGAGCCACTCACGTTCAGTACGGCCTCAGGTGAAACAGTGAAGATCGACAAGGAAGTCGTGCTTGAGTGCAAATTTCATTGCATCCTGGATGGCAAGCCAAGCATCCAGAAGTTCAGCATTCGTGCACTTGTGGCCCCTGTGCAAAATAATTTGCTCAGTGCAATGCAGATCTGCCACCGTGGCTGGTCAATCAAGTTTGTGAACCAGCAAGTGGTGATCACTTCTGATCACGGCAGTCAAATCGAGTGTCAAGTGTGGGCAAACTGCCCATGGCTTCGTCAGGTACCACCACGTAGGAGCACGTCCCCCAATGCGAAGAAGATCAAGGAGGTGTCATTCGATCCGACACCGATGGACATCGACAGGTTGTCACCGACCATCATGAATCGCATGACTTGTCAGCATTTGCACCCGAGTGTGCTCAGGGTCGATGAGGCATCACCTGCATTTGCACATGCGCAAGCCGCTAAGATTGAATCGAAAAGTGATCTTGCGCCGAATCATATGCCAACCACCGAAGCTTTGTCTTGTGTAACTCAACCGCAACTTGGTGTAAGCCTCTCAGTGTGTGTTGAAGCCAAGCCTGAGCAGGGTAATCCACAGGATCTTCTCCTTCAACCTCTTGATGAACAGCAGGAAGATCATCCTCTGCCTGAGCTTGATGTTGAAGTGCCGGATGAAGATCCGAGACCGGTAAATCGCATTGCAGCCCGTGAAGAGAAGGAACTCTTCCAGCATCGCGTCCGTGGGCATGCTGACTTTGATCCCAGGTGTCAGCACTGCGCCACTGCACGGGGTATCACTCAGCACCGCCGTAGGAGCACCGATGGTTCCAACATTGAGGTCATGGTAGATTTCTGTTACCTTCATGTGCCAGGTGGAGGTACTCGAGAGATCCTCGTGTTGTATGAACGTGCATCAGGCCTTGTTGGTTTCATTGCCATGCAAGACAATCGTGAATCAGTGAAAGCCGAAGTGAAACGCTGGTTCGAACTTGCAGGACTATCAGGACCATCATCTGCCA